GCACTTAAGTCCTGCATAAAAAGCACTTTATTTTCCTTATAGTTTATGGATGGGAGTTTCTAAACTTGTTTAAGAATGTAGTCTTTCACTGCATATCTTGCAAAACGCACCACAATGTCTCTGTGCGTTGAAGTATTTATTCCTCTTGGAATTGCAAATCTGTGGGCTCTTTCAAGATCCATTCTGCTTAAAGGGGGGGGGGGGTCTGGGACCAGGGAGATAAACCAGTCAAAGAGAAACCCTATGATATTGTCTCCCTCAGCTTTCTCCTGCACCCCACAGATGCGGATGTTTATATGACGATCTCTGTCCTCCAAATCAGCTAATTTTAGTTTCATAGTTCTATTTTGGTTCTCCAGTTTCTTGATTTTCTCCAGCTGTGCACTACTGATATCCAGAGCTCGCTCAGCACACTCAGCCACACTTTTAACATTATCTGTTAATTCCTTTAATTGGCTGTTTATAGGTTTTAATAAGTCTCTCCATCCATCCATTAATTCTTGTTTTAAATCCTTTTGTAAAAGCGATAGTTGTTTTTGCATACCTTTTAAAATGTTTTTGACATTGCTCCCGTTGTTTTCATTCTCTGCGCCCTTGGCAGCCATCTTATCTCCTTGCTTCTGTAGAAGGGTGTCTGATTATTATGATATTCCTCCAAACCCTTGAGTGTCCACAGACTCTCAGTATTTGGATTCTTTAGGTCTTCTACTTTCTAATGTAGCCGAAGTTTCATCTGTTAAAGGCTGTTAAGTTTGTGTTTTGCAGACCTTTTCAGCATCTAGACGGGGAGCCCTCGGATTAGGCATCCACCCTTATCTGGCTCAGCTCCACCCCCTGGACATGGCATCTTCCACTCCCCAACATGGCAGCTGGGGGGACCCAGAGCACTCCCCCAGATGGACATGGACCCTACATACCAGGCAGTTCAGTGCACTGGGGGTTGCCCCAAGCAGCTGCTGGGCAAAGGAGCTGAAAGTGGCGCCAATGCATCAGGCTGCATGCCCCACCTGTGGGTACTGCTCCTCCTGCACAAAATGTGCCGGTGGGTGGGAGCAGTGAGTGATCCCACCTGATGGCCAAACCCTTCCCTTGCAGGTGCAGAATGCACTGACACTGCTGAAAGAGTGCATCTCCACATAGGTTCTGACAAGATGCTGGATCAGATGTGGATGATCTTGGTTCTGCCACCAATTGGGTCCCCCTTGCAGCATCAGAGTGCCAGACAGGTCATCCATGACTACCAAATGCCTTACAAGCCAAGGAGGAGCATCAGTGACTGCTCCACTGTGTGTTTCCCCTGTACACAGGTGCTGATCCAACAGGGAGAGCCGTCACCCCATCCATGGAGGTGAAGCCCATGCGCCCTTCTGGCACCAGAAGCTGAGCCTCAGGAGCACGCAGACACAACCAGCCTCCTGTACCTTCTGTACCCACACCAACTGGGGAGGCGCCCGTAGCACCAAAGGACTGAGTGGGGGTCCACACGTCAATGTCGGAATCCCAGCATTACCACACTGTTGTCCCAGGTTCCCTCCAATAAAGCTTACCTGTCCCAGGTGCTGTTGCTTGTTGTGGACTCAGGGAGGTGGGAACGTGTGGGGGGTGCCACAGAAGTCACACAGTCCTGGCTGACAAAACTGCAGGGGGAGCATCCTGACAATAATGCTGCCACAGCAGTGGACACAGATGGGTGTGAGGGAAACGCTACGTGACAGGCCCCCATCCCCCCAGCCAAAAGCACAGAGTCCAGACCCAAAAGCTGCAGGGCTGCCCCATGAACCATCTCAAATCACTCAGGGAGGCACCCAGAATTGAACCCAAAAAATTGGTAACCATATAGACTAAGTTTATTATTCCTGTTTGATTCTTGAATTGGTTAAACATATACATAATGCTGCATGATAATTTACTGCTCACCCTCTACCTAGATGTATGGACTAGTAATTTTCATTTTTGTTTCTGTCTCTGTCTTGACTCTAATTGGCCCTTTCTGGCAACTACCCATGGTTAAGGAAATTCTGTTTCACTGTATCTGAAGTACGCTTGCACATGGAAGTTTATACCTTGAATAAAACTTTGCCCCAGACTCCAACGTCTTTCTGCTGCTACCCACTTGAATCTGTCAGTGAAGAGCAGTGGTTTTAGTTAAGTCCTAATTAATTAGAAATCGAATTTCTGTTGCAGATAAAACTATGAAAGCTTACAAATCTAGAACTTATTTGGACCTGACTTTTCTAAACAACATCAGAACATGGGTTGCAGGTGGGGGGGCTAGGACGATTGACCCCTCCCCTCCAACATTGGCGCTGTGTAACGCCAGGTCTATAAATAATAAGACTGCAGTCCTTCGGGACTTTCTGTGGGAGCAGAATATAGACCTGGCATGTGTGACCGAGACTTGGGTGCAAGACGGAGGGACAGTATCTCTCTCCCAAGCAGCTCCTCCTGGGTTCTCAGTCCTTCACCAATCCCGGACTAGGGGGCGGGGTAGAGGAGTGGCGTCATTCATCAGGGAGGCTTACTCCTTCAGGGCGCTACCGCCGTTGAGGACCATGGGGATTGAGTGTGCTGGCCTGGTGTGGGAAGCTGAGGAGAGTGTAGCGATTTGGCTGGTGTACCAACCACCCAACACATGGGCCAATAGCCTACAGTCCCTGGTGGAGGCAGTATCAGGCTGGGCCCTGGAACACCCTAGACTGATAGTCCTGGGTGATTTCAGTGTCCATGCTGATGACGCGGCTTCTACTCACGCAGCGGACCTGGTGTCATCCATGGCGGCCCTAGGACTCTCCCAACTTGTAACAGCCTCCACTCACTGGGCTGGGCACACGCTCTATTTGATCTTCACAACTGGGGTTACAGTGGACCAGATTGCTACTTTAGCAGTACCATGGTCCGACCACTTTGCCTTGCAGGCCTGTTTAAATACTCCACTCCGACCCTGTTTGGGCAGCAAGCACATTTTGGCTCAGCCACGGAGCCAAATGGACCCAATGTGGCTTCAGATAGCTCTTCAGGATCCAATGCCCCCTGGTGGCTTGCTGAATGAGCTTGTAGAGGACTGGCACAGCCGACTCTCGACAGCCATCAACGAGATCACTCCCCGGTGCCCTCTGTGCTCCCGGACGAAGCTCGCTCCTTGGTTTAACCAGGAGCTGAGGCTAATGAAGTGGGAGCTAAGATGGCTAGAGAGGCAGTGACGGCGTGCCCATGAAGAAGCTATAAGAGCATCTTCTAGGACGTTTATGAGATCCTATGAAATGGCAGTCAAGGCCGAGGTTGCATCCACTAGCTCACACCCTGCCCAATTGTTTAGAACGATTCGGTCTATTACTGCTCTGACTCAAAACAGATTAAACTGTAGGGAATTGGATATAGGCTGTGAGGCTTTTGCTAGCTATTTTGTGGCTAAAGTCTTGTCGCTCCGCCGTGAACTCCCTGCTACAGTTGATACAGTGAACGAACTTGAGGCCCCACGCACGTCTTCTAGTTACATTCTGGATTATTTCAGCCCACTTAGCCTTGAGGAAGTCGACAAATTGCTCCTAACTGTACACACTACCACGTGCTCCCTTGACCTGTGCCCTTCGTTGCTAATTAAAGCCGGCCATGAGGGCTTTTGAGATGCCTTGCGGGAGATAATCAACAAGTACCTCATTGAGGGGCTGTTCCTGGAGGCACTTAAGGAAACAGTGGTGTGTCCTCTCCTCAAAAAGCCATCATTGGATCTGACCGAATTGGCCAACCATCAGCCGGTTTCCAACTTGCCCTACGTGGGCAAGATAATAGAGAGGGCAGTGGAAACCCAGTTACAGGGCTTTTTGGATGACGCTTCCATACTAGATCCCTTCCAGTCTGGTTTCTGCCCGGGTCATGGGACAGAGACGGCTCTGGTTGCCCTCACGGATGACCTCCAATGGCACCTGGATCGAGGCAGAATGGCAGTGCTGTTGCTGTTAGACCTGTCGGCTGCATTCAACACAGTTGACCATCAGCTACTGGTCCGCCGCCTCGCCGACATTGGAGTTCATGGACTGGCCTTGCAGTGGCTTGTTTCCTTTCTACAGGGTAAGGGGCAGAGTGGCGCTAGGGGATCAGCTGTCCTGAAGGCACCCACTGGAATGTGGTGTGCCCCAAGGGGCAATGCTGTCTCCAATGCTTTTCAACATCTATATGTGCCTCCTTGCCCAGATTGCCCGGAGGCATGGGTTGGGTTGTCACCAGTATGCAGATGACACCCAGCTCTATCTGTCGTTGGGCGGGCAGTCCATCTCTGAACCGGAAGATCTAGACCAGGCGCTGCAAGCTGTGGCTGGTTGGCTTAGGCTGAGCCGGCTGAAATTGCATCCAGTGAAGTCGGAGGTCTTGTGCCTGAGTCGGAGCTGCCCAGGAGTAGGGATCCCATTCCCGACCTTTGATGGGGCGCCACTGGTGCCAGTGCCAGAGGTTAGAAGTCTAGGAGTGCTCCTGGACGTCTCCTTGACAATGGAGGCCCAGGTAGCAGCCGCTGCCAAGGCAACCTTTTATCACCTCAGGCTGATCAGGCAGTTGGTTCCCTTCCTCAAACACAACAACCTGGCAACAGTGATCCATGCACTGTTTGTGTGAACATGTGGCCAGTATAGGCATTATTCTAATTTAAACGAAAATGCTTTAAGCTCATTTGTAGAAAACATTCTCAGTCAGCAGAAATCCATCTATGCTGACTTTAAACTATTTGTGGATCAGGCTGTCACATGGCAGATTTTATATAGTAAAAGTCTGGCACTGAGAAGGGATTAATTTCTAGCAGTAACTAGGATTCTATTTTTATACTCAAACAGTACAAACATAACTTTCTTACTCTTGTATTGGCCCAGCTGAAGTACTGAATTCAAATTGCCTGTATTCTTATGAGAAGAGGTAGAGGACATGGTATCCCAAATTGTTGTTCTGAATTTTTCAATTGCATGATAATAGTTGCCCACCCCAAAAGAGAAGTTTTGTTTGTTACCTCTTACCAACAGTTCTTTTGACAGCTCTTTTCTGAAAGTCCATCTTCATCTTCGCCCACAATATCCACAGCTGAAAATATCAGTGCTACCAGAATTGCAAAGCAGCAAACCAGGGCAAAGATCACAATGCATTTTTGCTGGGACTGAAAGAGATTAAAACAGAGATAAAAATGCTAGGAAGTAAAATAATATCCTGACATTATACAATACCTTTGAATTATTATCACAAATGTAATAAACACCCTTTATAGAACAGTTTTCTGCAGGATGTGCAAAATGGAATTATTCAAAGGGCATTCTTATGAAGTGAATTAAGATCGTAGTTAATGCAGAGAGAATTTAAGGCAGTCTTTATGGTATATACTATGCTGTGTTTATTGCACTGTCTTCCAATTGTAGGTGTCAGGCTGGATCTAGACTATATTTTTTACTAATGGAAAGGAAGGGGTAATTTCTGCCCATTCTTGCTTCCTGCTGCAGACCTTCAGTTTGCCCCGCCAGCCATTCCTGAGGGTCAATTATCCCCCAGGAACAGTATTTCAGGTAGATCAAAGGGCTACCATGGGTGAGAGAGAGGCAGGAAAGCTCTGTTTACGGATGAAAGTGCCTTCTGATAACGGAAATCTTAGTCTGGATCCAATCCATTGTATAGCATTGTTCTCCAGTCCTGTAACTCCTAGTTATTCTTTGTTTTATACTGTGTTAGGTAAAGGTAAAGGTTTCCCTTACTCAAAATCCAGTCAAATCCGACTCTAGGGTTGTGGTGCTCATCTCCGTTTCCAAGCCGAAGAAACAGTGCTGTCCGAAGACGTTTCCGTAGTCATGTGGCCAGCATGACTAGATGCCGAGGCACACGGAACACTGTTACCTTCCCACTGAAGTGGTACCTATTTATCTACTTGCAATTCCTTGCTTTCAAACTGCTAGGGTGGCAGGAGCTGGAGCCAGAGATGGGAGCTCACTCCATCATGCGACACACGGGTCTCGAACTGCTGAACTACCTACCTACCTTCCAGCCTGCAGTTCAGCATCTTACTGTGGTCTAATTGTTTGGTTGTATTTTATTGTTCTTATTGCATTGTTTTTAGTTGTAATCAACCCTTAATCTCAGAGAGAAAAGTGTGCTACAAATGGAGTAATTAAATAACTAAAAATCAGTTCTGTTTGATGCTGAAATTTATAATAAATTCAGGACACACAAAATAGGAACATAAAATCCAATAAACCCCCCCTCCTTTTTTTTGCCATGATACAAATGCATATTTCAGTTTTATACATAAAAGTGTGACAGGGAACAAACATGTCAATCAACTTTAAGTCACAAATGGAGTAGCATGCACTCTGTTCTCTACTCCCCCCCCCATGGAAAAAACTACAAGTTTTATCAAATTCAGTTCTCTGACATAATAAAGACACTTTGCATGAAATGTACTGAAAAGAGTATAGTTCCTTTAATATGGACAACTGAAGATACTAATGCCCAGGGGTCATTTCATAGAAAAAGAGGTGCAGGAGCTCATTAGCATAACTTATTAGCATAACTTGTTTGCATGTGCCACACTGCCTGACATCACCGGAAGTGTGTCAGAAGGCAACACCCACCGCCCAGGCTCCACTGGACTGTTTTGGATTGCTAGCTATTGGGGGGGGGGACATCCAGATCTGTCCTCACAGAGGAGGGAGAGCTTGTACCTGAATAAAACTTGGTCTTAAAAGTGCCACTGGACTATTTTGGATTGCTAGCTATGGGGCAGGGGAACACACAGATCTTCTTTCACAGAGGAGGGAGAGCTTGTACCTGAAGGTGGGGGGAGGGCTCTGCAACTTACCTGGTTGCTTCTTGCTCCTTGTGGCCCGGTTGAGGGCTGTTGGGAGCAGGGGGGGGCTTATTGCATGTGCCCACCCCCTGGGCTCCTTACTGCTGGAGCTCCGCTCCTGTGCGCTCCCGCAGGAAATGACCCCTGCTAATGCCTATCATCACCCTAGTTTAGCTAAGCAGATCCTCATACATAAGTAGTTTCATTGCTGGATCAGGAATTATGAGTAAAACCTGGATAAGCATCCAAAGTTCTGGATGCTATTTGCCCTGCATTGCTTGATGTACATTTTGAATATACATCCCAAGATCTATCCTCATCCTTGACCATATATTATTCATTAGGGCCAGGGCCAGCAGCAACCAAAAAGCAAGTTGCTACCATGCAATTTCTGCAATCCAGGTGCAGCAGTGGCTACTGGGCAACTCAATGCCATACAAACCACAAGGGCTGAGTGGTAAACTCCACACAACTTGTGTGCCTTGGCTGCGGCCACTTATAAACACTACACAACTCACTTGAACAACGTGCTACTACATGACTTTTGCAACTTTAGCACCCTTTTCCTATGGAGAAGCTTCCAGGGGAGGGAAGTAGGGAAACCTGAGAGCCAGTGTGGTTGTACTTAAACTGTCAGGCTAGGAGCTGGGAGACCCAGATTTGAATCCCCACTCTGCCATGGAAGGCTGCTGGGTGGCCTTGAGCCAATCACTCTCTCTCAGCCTAATCGATCTCACAGGGTTGTTGTGAGGATAAAACTGAGGAAAATAACATAGGGTGCTTCGGGTACCCATTGCAGGAAAAGGTGAGGTATGAAGGGGCAAGGCAGATAAAAAAATGTTGGTCAGTGAATGGAAGGAGAGAAGGAAGCAGGGAAAGGGAGAGGATACAGGTGCTGCCAGGAGTAGAGAAAGAGGGAATAGTGTAGGGAAGGGGCTGTCAAGAAAAATCAAGTGACCCCACAAGTCATTATGGGTTACCCACTTGTCAGTTTTTAAACTATAGTGAGAGCTGGATCAAGGCATTTATTTATACATGAAAAAACCTTTCCAGTTTCATATATTCACAGCATATCCCAGTTTTATGGGGGAAATTCATATTTTATTTCCTGTTTTGGTACAAATTATTCTTGCTCTGAAAAATGCTTCCATTCTTATTAAATGCAAATACGATTTTTAATTTGGGTTGCTTTGTGCTGCCAGATGTGTTTGTGAATTGAATAATTCAGTAATACTTCAAAGACAAATTTATTCTACAGAATTCTTAAACTGCTGCATTGTAAACTGCAGAGCATCAAAATGGAAACAGGGATTTAAAAACTAAATTTTAGTCTCATCTCCTGACCCTTAGAGTTGCTATGAGACTACAGAAGATCACAGAACTATATGCAGCATCTCTGCAGCAAACTGAGAGTGCTATTTCCTACAACAATAGCAAATAAAATCCTTTGCGATTCTGTTGTTTCATTCTTCAGTCTTTTTATTAAAAATGTATGGTACAAGTGGAACCCGCAAACAGTTGCAGTGGATAGAAGGAATAGGCAGATATGGAACTTCTGCACACAAACACACACACTGTCATCAATATGAGACTAACAGAATTTGTGGTACGGTATGAGCTTTTGTTTAAGGTGCTACTGGACTCTTACTCTTTTGTACTGCTGAAGAGATCTATCAATATGGGAGCCAGTGTGGTATAGCGGTTAAGAGTGTCATACTAATATCTGGAAGACTCAGGATCCCTTGATACCTACTTCTGCCTCCAAATGTCTCAACAAGATGGCATGGTCCATTGTATCAAAAGCTGAAGACAAAACCAGTAGGAGGAACATAGGCATGGCCTTCATCTACATTCGTCTACAGAGGTTGTTAACCAAAGCACAGTCCTGCCTGAATTCTGACTGAAAGTGTTCTTGAGCAGATGAGTTATTCAAGAAGACCTGAAGTTGGTTTGCTACTGCCCTCACAACCACGTTGCTTAGAAATGGCAGATTGTTTGGACCTGCATGGCCCAAGGCTAGCTTGATCTTGTTAGATTTCAGAAGCTATGGAGGGTTGGCCCTGGTTAGTACTTGGATGGGAGATTCCCAAGCAAGTCCAGGGTTGCTATGCAGAGGCAGGCTACTGGCAAACCACCTCTATTTGTCTCTTGCCTTGAAAACCCTACAGAGTCACCATAAATCAGTTGCGACTTCATGGCACTTTCCACCACTAGCCTCTCTTTGTAATACTTTTCTGTTGCTTGTAACTTCAGTTATAAATATATGCACTATAGTTGTGTACTTCATAACTGGATTAAGTGAGCTCATAAATGTTTATGTTGGAATAGATTTTGTTAGTCTTCAAGGTGCCATTTGACTCATTTTTTATTTTACATGGTTGCTGTGGATAAAATAGAGGCAAAGACAATCAAGTATGTCATTTAGTGCAAAAGAGAGAGTAGAGGGGGAAAATGAGACAGACTTCAAGCCAAAACCAAATAAATTTAACACAAGGAAACTTTCAGAACACCAGTGTCTAATAATGTTGTGTATTCATCTTCATCACCTTTAGCTAGTATATTAAAAGGTGCATGTTAGACAAGAATTTCATGGACTACAAAGGCATGTAGAAGCTCTAGGGATGGGCAAACATCTCATACCAAGTATGAAATGTGTAACAATTATCCAGTTCTATACCAGCAGTTCACCATATAGTGCCATTTGTGGAAGTTAGGATCCTACCCAATATGAAAGAATGGATCCCAGTAAACTCAACAGGTATTTTCCAATGGACTGCATTAGGATATGAAAGGATCATAATCTTCTGCCATATTTATGAAGACACCAGGCATAAAACTACAAGAAATGCAATGAATATTGAATTATTGTAGCATCATTGAATTATTGTAGCACTATTCTTGCTTAAAATGAACAATCATATAAAAATAGTTATATAAGGTAACCTTTAATAAATTGAAAGATTCCTTAAACTTATCCACTTCTATATAGGAAAGTTCATATACACTGTTTGTATGTACACTGCCATATATAACGGTGATATATGACATCACAAGATGATTGAGGGCCTGGAGACCAAGCCCTATGAGGAAAGGCTGAGGGACTTGGGAATGTTCAGTCTGGAGAAGAAGAGGTTGAGGGAGGACATGATTCCTCTCTTTAAGTATTTGAAAGGCTGTTACAGAGGAGGGCAGGGAGCTGTTCCTGTTGGCAGAAGAGGCCAGGACTCACAATCATGGGTTTAAGTTAAGGGTGGGAAGGTACCGGTTGGATATTAGGAAAAACGTTTTTGCAGTAAGAGTTGTGCGGCAGTGAAATCAGCTACCTA